GCGAATGGAGTATGTGTGTGATTTTGGCTACTTAGGAGAAGTGCAGATACACATTTTTCGTGCATTGAGGAACGTTGTGATTGTGTGGTTTAACATGGTTACCTTGACCTCTGGCAATTAATTAGTTACATGTCAGTTGTGCTTTATACGAAGTCCATAGGACTTCGCGTCACCCTTTTTCTCTTTAGACAACAGTCAGTTGTAACTCAACACAATTATTTTTACGTTAGAACACTTCTTATTATGGCGCAGTCAACTGATTCGAATCTGCGGGGAATTCCCGCCTTTTGGCCAAACCATACTGTAGAACCACCCACTCAATGGACTAATTGGATCGACCAGTTCCACCTGGCCATCATCGCCAAAGAGAACTTAGACATAGATATCCTGAAAGAACCATTGGAGTAGGAAACCACAACCCATATTATAGAAACCGCCCAGGATTCAGAAAACGAAACACAGGAAAACCAGGCAGGCCAGAAACAAAGAATTAATGCGAGTCTACCAAAATTCGGAGAAAAGGATTTTAGACGAGAAACGAAAATTCGGGGGGATGAGGAGAAACGAAGCAGACAAGAAAGAAAGATCCAGCCTTTACTTGGCCTTAGGAGCCGAGCGGAAAAAGTGTCCCTCAAAAACACTCAAGGGTGAAGGTTTTATCCATTTCCTTCAAAAATTTTTTCGACCTTTTGGACGCAGCATTTGTCAAACCAGTGAACATTACGTTTGAACGATATAATTTATTGAGCCGAAAACAGAAGGACAGAGTCCTAGGAACAATTTTGGGGAGCGTTATCTGATTTAGCTAGACCTTGCGAAAATAGAATTAATCCAGAATTCTTATCGGAAACGCTAAATCCAGTGGATGCACTCAAACAAGCAATTATCGATGAGAAAGGTTATTACAATCATCTCAAATTAACGAACATGACGAGGGCCAATAACAACAACAGCGGCAGGTTCCACAAAATTTTATTACTGTGAAAAAGGAACCAAGTCTGAATAAAGAAAAATCCAACACCTGTATAAAATGTTGAAATGCTTTTACCAAAAGTCATTTGAACGTTTGCCTAGCAAAGAAATATTATATAACATTTGTAAATATAAAGGACACTTTGGAAGACTCTACAAATCAAAAGGAAGATATTGAATCTAATTATGAAAAGTATTTTGGATAAGCTCTTGCTTGTGCTAAATCTTTCTGTGAACAATATCTTATGTTGTTAGTAAAAAATAATGTTATGGATAAACTTGGTTTTACTGTAACAAATGAGAAGTCCTGGAATGCTAAGATTGATTTGAAATCATCCAAAAGCTTTTTAAAAAAACTCGATTTCTTTAAAAACAGTACCTAATGCCCTTTGTACTATGCGCGAGATGATCCTTTATCTAAGCTTTGTTTTATCGCGTTTTTACATGGGTTCGCCTACTTAGGCAGCTTCCCATGCTGGTCTGGTCTCCAGGAACCACTTAAAACCACTTAAAACCACTCCAGGAACTAGAAATTGAAGGCTTTTCGTGGGACATCTCCAGCTTCAAACCATGATTATATTTCAGCTCTTCTTTCACTTTCCCTTTGTCCATTCTGCCCTTACACAACTACACAAATGACCTTACACTTTTGTGGAAGCGATGCTAAGGTTAACTCGGCATCGATCATAAATTGGATTTCTATGATATACCAACCAGATCTTTGTCAAATCATTTTTCAAAATAGTTAGAGGGACAATATACGGTAAGTCATATAGGAAGGGGTAATTGTACGGTTGACGTCTTTCGATTATCGAAGAAAAAGAAACATAACGTTCAACCTCTTCAATTTCCCAGAAAGTTTTAAGATTGGTCTTTCTTTCATAAAAATAAATGGGTCAATGCCAATTTTTTCATTCCACTGGGAATTTGAGTCCATGTTTTGCCTTTAAATAATTCCAGAAATTATTTCAAGCATTTAAGATTCAGGGAAAAAAAATTTTTTTTCGCACCATTTGCATTTTTGTTACAGGAGACCGTAAACAATCAAATCGAAAAATCAAAATTGGGTGTTAATAAATTGCAAGTCATTTTCCTTTTAAAAACGAAAGAAACAGGACCTAGATTAATATTTCAAATTTAACACATGACCGTAACACTTTTGCTGTTCGATAGTGGAGCTTGCTTTCCTTATAACAAAGGAAATGAACTGAATTTAAAACGAAATCAAACTGCGAAAAAGTAAATTAAAAAGTTAATGACATACAAGAGCGATTATATGAAGGTTGAACTTTAGTTCAATATGCTGACGACTGTATGGTTTTTTCCTCTTCTATAATTTCTGAGGATGCTTTGAAACGATTGCAAAAATCACTTAATAATCTAACGGAATTTTTTGCAGAGAACCAATTGAATCTGAATGCATCTAAATCGGAATTTATAACATTTAGTCAAAAAAATGATAGCAAAAATGTAGATACTGATACAATAGTAATTAATGGGCATTATGTTGCCAAAAAATCAGAATGCAAATATTTAGGCCTTATTCTTGATTCAAGTTTATCTTTTCATGCTCAAATCAAAACAATTCTCCAAAAAATGGCACAAGGAATTAAAACTATAGATACAATTGGACAACAACTGCCGACATATCATTAGTTGCCTTGCTTCATTGTCTTGTTTTATCACATTTAGATTACTCAGCAATATTTTTACAACAAATTAATGCTACTTTGATGCTATCTCTAGAGAAACAGTTGAACTGGGCGTTAAAAAGAACATATTTCAGATCGAAATTTAAATCTTCTTCACTTCTTCGCATTAGCAAATCGTTCATTGGAATCGAGAAAAGAATTGAATTAAAGTGTATAACATACTTATACCAATATCTTACAAACAAAAAGAAGGCTTTTCAAAATACATTGAGACTACCGACTGCCAATTATAGGCTCAATAAAAGAACGAAACAAATTATTTTTGACAAACATTGTTCAACCGCTTTTCTACAAAAATCATTTTTTCATTTGACTTCTAAAAAATGGAATTCACTGCCCATAATTTTGCGCAATTTAGAAAAATCGAGAACAGGATTCAAGAAAAAATTGAAAGAATTTTACGTGAGTGAATTGAGAAACAATCCAATATGTACAACTACAAATACGTGGCGTGATTTCCGTTTTTGCTAGTTCTATATGTTTTAATTTAGTTTAATTTTCCAGACATTTTTTTGAAAGAGAATCTGTATATACTCTGTATATACGCTGTATGTTTGGACTATCTATAAAATCGTTTGTAAAGTTTTGATACCAGCTCGTTCTTAATTCTTAAAACTGAAGTTTTTTTAGTATCCGTAACTTCATATATTTTAATCAACCAATTTCCGAACTGTAACCGAACTTGTTTTGTTTTGTTTATTGCTTGTTTTCTGATGTTGTGTTTTTGTTTGATGTAACCAATGAATTTTAAACAACTTTATTATTTACACTTTGCTATACTGATGCCTCGGCTTTTTACTGTATAGTAATTCAGGTGTTCTTTCTTCTTCTTCTTCTTCTGAGCCTGAACATTGTAAACGTTCATTGGAATCGAGAAAAGAAATGAATTAAAGTGTATAACATACTTATACCAATATCATACAAACAAAAAGAAGGCTTTTCAAAATACATTGAGACTACCGACTGCCAATTATAGGCTCAATAAAAGAACGAAACAAATTATTTTTGACAAACATTGTTCAACCGCTTCTCTACAAAAATCATTTTTTCATTTGACTTCTAAAAAATGGAATTCACTGCCCATAGTTTTGCGCAATTTAGAAAAATCGAGAACAGGATTCAAGAAAAAATTGAAAGAATTTTACGTGAGTGAATTGAGAAACAATCCAATATGTACAACTACAAATACGTGGCGTGATTTCCGTTTTTGCTAGTTCTATATGTTTTAATTTAGTTTAATTTTCCAGACATTTTTTTGAAAGAGAATCTGTATATACTCTGTATATACGCTGTATGTTTGGACTATCTATAAAATCGTTTGTAAAGTTTTGATACCAGCTCGTTCTTAATTCTTAAAACTGAAGTTTTTTTAGTATCCGTAACTTCATATATTTTAATCAACCAATTTCCGAACTGTAACCGAACTTGTTTTGTTTTGTTTATTGCTTGTTTTCTGATGTTGTGTTTTTGTTTGATGTAACCAATGAATTTTAACCAACTTTATTATTTACACTTTGCTATACTGATGCCTCGGCTTTTTACTGTATAGTAATTCAGGTGTTCTTTCTTCTTCTTCTTCTGAGCCTGAACAAATTTTAAGATTTTCCTGAAAAAATCATCACGACCTATATACTACGTTCATCAGCACTTTAAAATGAACAAACATTATAGCAAAAGCGGGGGGTAATACTTACGCTAAGCAGGAAACAAACTCATTAATCGCTAAATCACACATTAACACAGAGGCGAAGTTGCACTTCGCAAACACAGGCAAAAAAAGACCGATAACGCTACTGGGAAAAACTGAATAAAACTTTGAGTCTACAAAACTTAATACGTGACGCACGTCAATTATGAGTCTACATATTTGCTAATAGACGCAAGCCAATTATGAGCATTAGCAGTACCAGTCAATTTGAAAAAAAAAGAAATTTACCAATAACATGCCTGAATTTATAGAGCGGACGCATTTCAACTAGTATACGAAAAAATTCGTTACAAACATCCGACCCTGCCCGGGTTCGAACCCTCTTATTTTGTTCAAGTTTTTGATTCCCAAAATGGCGGTAAAAAATTCCAAATATGTTTTTTTCCGAGAAAGCAACTTTGCTGTGCTTAAATATAGCTTAAATCAGCTATTGTTAGCCTGCTTGCTTGCTTTATTCGCTCGAAATTGCACTAAAAATCAGAAATTTAAACTTGCAGCTCAAAATTTGCATTTGCTTGAAAAAAACCGTCGTTCTTTATCATTTGTATTTTAACTTTATTTTGTGACGCTTATTATATTCAGCGTGTCTTCTCTGCGGTCTGTCTAACCTAGACTCTGATAAAAAGGCTGCTCCCCCAAAGATCCTGCCGAGTACATTGGGAGGGTAGTGGAGACAGGCGGTGCGGATGTCTCGAACAGACAGAGGAGACTGTTCTGCAGCAGCTCCTTCACAATGGGAGAGAGGAGGAGGTAGATGTTGGCCCATCCTGTTGTCTTCAGGGGGTCTCCCTTCAGAAAGTTACTGATGTCTCCTGCACACAAACCACCAATGACGAAATATAAAAAAAAAATATTTCACAATTTTGAAATCATAATTAATTGTTTTGATTAAAGCGACTGTTCAAATCATTATTTAAAATTTCAACTAGTTTGCTCAAAATTAAATAAAGCGAAAGGAGTTGTTGATTAAATGATTCAGTTGAAAACACCCAATATTTGAAATCCAACATCATTTCAGTTAACACGTCAGGCTCTCCTTTTTTTTATTAATTCAGTGGGTACATAAGTGGAGTTAAACCAACGTATGAACTGTTCAACTCTGCACGGAAACAGCTGTTGTTTGTTATCCTTGTTAAAATTAAAATTCCATGCAATTTTTGAGGGTTTATGTTTCTTTCCCGGGTAGAATGCTTCAGCGACAAGCAACCAGCATGGGTAGTACAGTTTCATAAAAACTAACAATCAAAAAACATAAACTTACAACTGATTTTTAAACTGCACAACCTCAACCATTCCAGGCCGAACATCAAATTTGCATTCGATTTAATTATTTACACTCGCAAATCAAGCAACAGCATTTTTTCTTGAAAGATTCCTGGGGGCAGATTAAAGTTCGGCACTACGCTGCTGTATTCAATCAAGACTTAACAACGGCTCTCCCCCCACATGTGAATTTTCAACAGATGAAGTTCGTTTACATTGTCAGCTGGTAACTAATTTTGGCATTTGGACTAAAGCCGATCATCAAACATATTTGCTTTTCATTAAACGCTTTTCATGTTTGCTTGCATGATTAACAGGCACGTAAAGTTGAAAAACTTAGATGGGTTATGGAGAAGGAAAGAGGGTAGGAGAAAGAGTGCAATCGGCGGATAATCAACTAACCGCCATATCTTGAAGCCGAAATTGCATCAGAATAACGGAAATTAAATCACAATTACGTAACAATTGCATAACAACAATGACACTTTGTTGTTATGTTGCATAACAAAATTAATTTTCGGTTTGTTGACCTACCAGTGTAATTAACCTACCATGTTCATTCATGATGGGAAGCAAAGAGTCTGCCAGTGCATTTGGACAGATGAAGCCCACATGGTTAAGCACAGTCACGAATGGCCGCACTAGATCAATGATGGGAAATGCATTGGAGAGAGAACAGATGTCACTCACACAGTGCACTCCCTGACAGGTCACAGAGGTGTAGGGTGTTGCGAACAGTCTCCTCTGAGCACTTGCTTGCGTCTCCGAGGACCCTGAACAACAAGAAGCTAGTTGAAATAACTCAAAAAAAAACATTGCAGGAGAGTTCCACAAGCAATGCCTAGTAAAAAATGATGAACTTTTTGTCTAATGAAGAAATGTTTGGCTCCAATCGAAGATTGAAAAAGAGCAATGAACGCAAGTAACCATAAAAAAAACACTTACTTTATTGAAAAAATCTCAATTTTGGAATTTCAAAAAAAATCGATGCCCTTTAAGCTCTTTAAATTTCTGGAACAATTTATGATCGGGATTTTTTGATAACCTTAACCCAAATTGAGAAAACTGGATCAACAGGTAAAATTTTTATTCCGCTGGAAATCTTAAACTTAAATTCCACTTTCGAAACTAGAAATCGTTCACGTTTTTAGCGCCATTTCCACGTCCGTATTTGGAGAGTGCTAATTACTTCACTTTCAGTAGATGAATTTCAATGGAACTCAAAAAGCGCATATATACCTAGGTGCATTCATAAAAGCATCAATATAGATGAATGCATATCTGTAGTTATTAGAGACTGTGGTGCGTCGTCACTTAGATTTAAACATGACGTCAACAGTGTGCTAGCTATTCGTGCTAAATTCCATTATCTGTCAAGGTCGTGACCGACCTGCCAATCCACTCCAGTCTTAACATCATGCGCTCTCTATTCATTCTCTACAGCTTATGAAAGATTTAAGTTGTATTTATTTCATTGTCATGACATAATTTAAATACTAAACTATCTATATTATTTATATGTTTATAACATAACAAGGAGAATTGATTCTTGTTTTACAACTGTCTTTCGACGTTTCACATGGCGCAGCCAGCAGTTTCGACCTCAGAGGATCGAACTGACCTGTTGGGCGTATCCGTATTTTGGTATAAACCAACTGCGGACCCACCACATAGCTGGGATTCGTGGATAGGTCAATTCAATTTGGCAATCACTCTGAGAGAGAGATGTGATCCACGCGAATTATTAAAACCTCCGGGTGTCGTACACGACGATCCTGCTCCAAAACCAGAAGTTGTGGGAGCGGTTGAAGATGCCGCAGCAATCGCAAGTCGTATTGCACGCAATGACGCGGCGATCCGGAAAGTCACGGAAATGAATGAAGAGCGCCGGGCGAAAGGTCCCCGAGTTGCACCAGGAGTGTATTATTTCGAGGTTGAACAACGTGTTAAATCTCGTTTATTTTTCTCGCTCGGCTCAGAAGGGAGGAAAAGATTCCTTCAAAGTTATCCACATGCGGATTTGAGCGAATTATCGTTTCGGGAATTCCATGAATTCTGTGTTCTCCTGTTCAGAAAGGAGAAAAATTTCATCATCGAACGTATGCAAATATACAACGCGGTACATTCAGACCGAGAAAGTTTGGAAGCATTCTATTTACGTTTGACGGGACAAGCCGCCCTGTGTGGATGGACAATCGATCAAGAAAAGGAAGTCGTAAGAGATATCTTCATTGCCAAAATGAGATATAAGGATATTCAGAGAGAATTGTGTATTCATCCAGGTGCTACTCCGGAGGATTCTTTGAAATCAGCTTTACTGCAAGAAAAGGGAGCACAAACGGCCACCGATTTGCAAAGGCAACTCGGGAGTTCGTCGTCGACGGGCAATTATTCCCAGGCAGGTGCCATCTTGGGTCAGAATTCCCGGATAAAACAGGAACCTACCTTCTCTGTCCAGGGTAAGAAACTTTCGGACAGGATTAGTCGGGCACAGAATAGTAAGCAAAAGGGGATCAACGAGAAATCAAAGTCGTGTTATTTCTGTGGTAACAGGTTCTCAACAAACCACAAGCAGAGTTGTCCAGCCAGAAATGTTACTTGCAGGAACTGTAACAAAAAGGGTCACTTTGCCAAATGTTGCAATTCTAAGAATGTAGGGAACGTGGAAGCTGAGTCAGATGAGACAGTGGAAGAAATTTGCAATTTCATCACGTCCGATAGTGAGTCGGAATTCACTGTTTTATCTGTAGCAGCAGAGAAACCAAGTCTCCCAATTAGGTCAGTGAAAAAGTTGGAGGTGGTCAATGCCGCCACGGGCAAGATACGTTCTATCCAGATAACACTACGTTGTGGCAAGACGTTTTTCAAGGCAACAGTGGATACTGGGAGTCCAGCCTCCTTTGTGAATAAGAAGACAGCAGACTATATTCTGAAAACGGTTCCTTCAGCCAAGCTCTTCACGATTCAAGAAAGTCCAATTGATACAGTATATGTTGACTATAATCGGAAGAAAATTGAATTGATGGGTACGTTAATTATGGATGTATCATCTTTGGGATGGCATATCAGGTCTGCAAAATTCCTTATTTCAGAAAATCGAACACGTTGTTTACTGGGTTTGGATTTGCAACCCCAATTGGGAGTAAGTACAACGCAAGTTAGACCAGATCGTCCTTTGGTGGGAGAAGTCTCCCAATCAAACCCGAATTTAACATCGGATTCATGGAAATCTCATTTTTACCAGAAGTTCCATCGTGTATTCAGTAGAATCGGCAAAGCCAAAAACCATAAAGTATTCTCTACGTTCAAGTCTCCACTCGTCCCTATTCAAGAAAAGGGAAGGAGAGTGCCGGTGCACATTCAAGATAAAGTTGGTCAGGATATCCAAAAACTAATTCATGAAGGGCACGTGGTTAAACTGAATAAATGTACCAGTGAGTATTTCATCTCTCCGATCGTTATTACAGCTAAGAAAGATGGTTCTGTGAAATTAGCTATGGATGCTAAACCTATGAATGACCAAATTCATAAGAACCATTACCAAATGCCGAATTTGTTGGAACTATTGGACTCAGCCGCCCAGATAATCACGTCGGACATTTCAGGAGATATTTGGTTTACGTCCTTAGATTTAAAATACGCCTTCAGCCAGATTCCGCTCAGTGAGGAAGTTAGTCGTCATTGCAATTTTAATATCGTCTGTGGTGAACAAACTGGCACGTATCGGTTCAAAACGGGGTTTTATGGACTAACGGACATGCCAAAGGAATTCCAAAAGGCGATGGATAATACTCTCCAGGGTCTGTCAGGAGTATTCTGTTTCCTTGATGATATTCTGATTGTTTCGAAGGGTTCAGTCGAAGATCACAATATCCTTGTAGATAAGGTGATAAGTCGTTTGGATGATGAAGGTTTTGCTCTGAAACTTTCGAAATGCGATTTTTCTCTGAATCAATTATCTTGGTTAGGATATGATATTGACTCAGAAGGATACAGACCGAAACGTTCTAAGATAGAGGCAGTACTCGCTCTGGAACCTCCAAGGACGCTTAAGCAACTTCGTTCGTTCATGGGCATACTCAACCATTTACAACGATTTTTGCCGAATATTCAGGTCCATTCAGACCAATTACGCCCGTCGTTGAAAGCAAGTAATAAAAGTAAATTTGTGTGGGGAGACTGCCAACAGACCGCGTTCAGTAACATCTTACAATTGATAGCGAATATCACAAAGATGTATCATTATGACCAAAGTCGGAACTCGCGGGTGAAATGTGACGCTAGTCATAGTGGTCTGGGTGCTGCATTAGAACAAGAGATCGAAAAGGATGTTTGGGTCCCAATTGCTTTTGCGTCACGCTTTCTAAATGATCAGGAGAAGAAATACAGCACTAACCAATTAGAACTTCTAGCAATTGTATGGTCGTGTGAGCATTTTCGAACATATTTGTTGGGAAATCATTTTGTAATCTTAACTGACCATAAAGCAATTATCTCGGCGTTAAAGACCAACCGAGGTAACAAAACTCATCAGTCGCGGTTAACCAGATGGGCCGATAGATTATTGCCCTTCGATTTCGACATATTCCATATCTCCGGATGTCAACTGGGTATAGTAGATTATTTATCCCGTTTCCCAACGTTTGAAGCCCCGCGACCAAGCAGTTTTGACGAACAATATGTTGTTAAATGCATTACTCGATTCTTTGATGCGTGTGAATTTTTGGATGAATGGACCAAGTGTTGTACTGCGATAGAAAATCCAGGGATTATCCAGAAAAATAACCAGAGCTCTGCCGTATCTAATACAATTCATCTAATTGAGTCATTGGATTCTGGTCAGCATCGGGTATATTGTCCCGATATGGACAATTCAATCGCTGTATCTCACACGTTTAGTAACTTATCGGTAGAGGGCGTTTTAACCCAAAACGTCCCAGTTACATCGAATGGCATAATATCGGTAGAGGGCGACGAAAATTTGGCCATTAATCATACTGGCACTTTCCGTCAATTTCCTACGTTCGACATCTCTCCGCTAGGGGGCGTCAAATTTGCTGGTTTGCAAATTAACCAATCAGCGTTGAGAGAAATACAGCTGGCTTTTGTCACTTTCTCAGCATGGTTTACACATTATCTGCCAATTTTGTTCTCACTGTGGTTTATTTCTCTGGTTGCTAGTGATTGTGTTATATTGTTGTCGCTCATAGCATTTTTCGCCTTTGTCCTATCGGATCGTATTTCTTGGATAAGAATCGTTCTATTGAGTATCTTCCATTTTCAGACAGCTATGGATTCTATTACCGGTGCCAACAACAACAACACGAATGACAGCTTCGAACAACTGTTAAACCAGTATCTCCCAGTCACTCAACCCTGGTTTTCTTCTGATAGGGCTCGGCCGCGGTTTCGCGCGGGGGCTGTACGTCCCAGAAGATCGACAACTGTACAACGCGGTGCAGCACTGAAGAGTCAGTATGCCCGTATATTAGCAAACTTCAGGACAAAAAGGGCCCGGAAAACTACTGTATCGAATCGTCCATCCCAGTCAGTACATAGTTTAGAAATTCTGAAGACACCAGTGGTCACTAAGGACCAGAAGTCGCTAACCGGGTTGGTGGGCATTTTGGACTCCGATGTACTGTCGGAGCTTACGGATGAAGATGCCAGTCTATGCCTCATGAAACGAGCCATTATCAATCGGGACTACGAAGGATTTTGCCGTATAGACTCTTACATAAAATCCTTTTGGCATTGCGCAGCGGTGGTTGATGGCTGGATTGTCGTAGATAATAGGATTGCTATACCTATGTGCCTACGAAAACCGCTATTGTCTCGACTCCATAGATCGCATGCGGGTCAGTTGGCCATGGTTGATGCTGCGCAATATATCTGGTGGCCCCGAATGCATCGAGATATCGTCCAGCTTTGCAAGGATTGTCCCCAGTGCACAAAGTTTGGTAAGAATTTGAAAGCGAACGCTTCATTTAACTCTTCAAAGCCTTTACCCCTTTTGTCTGGCCCTAATGAAGAACTGCAACTCGATTACGCTGGTCCTCTTCTTGATTCTTTGGGTAACAGTATGTATATCTTGGTCGCGATCGACCGCTACTCAAAATATCCGTCAGCTATGATAACGCGTTCTACGGGAGGACGGAAGATTATTAAATTTCTTAAATCGTATATCCAACAACATAGTATCCCTAAATCTATCAAAACTGACCAATATTCTGGTTTTAAGAACAAATTGGTGCAAAATTTTTGTCAAGAAAAAAATATTGCTCAATATTTCTGCGCGGTGGGGGACCATCGTTGTTGTGGTTTAGAAGAAAGGTCGATTCAAACGATTAAACGTCGTTTAGGTGCCTCCCGGTTAAGTTCGGATTTTTCAAATATTCAAGATACTCTTAGAATTATTATTGAAGATATTCGGATTACAAAAAATTCTGTCACTGGGGTTTCACCGTTTGAACTTCATTTTGGTCGTCCTCCGAATACGGAGCTATCCATTGCGGCTGAACGTTTATCTACGGGCGTTAATTTATATATTCAACAGCTGGAAAGGGACCTTTTAACACCCGAACAGCGTCGGGAGCAGTGCGATAGCCGACCGAGGATAAAAGTGGTCAGGAAGGGGCAGTCAAGCCCGACGGTTTCTCCATATTTTGGTGGATCAACGGATTCCGTGTCAGACACTCCTCACTACCGCGCTCTGGAGAACCTGGCACATTCTGCCAATCAGTGGTTGACTTTGAAAAAGTCACTGTCCCATCAGGAGGGAGTCAAAGCCCTGAAGACGTTGACGGAGAGAAATCAAGTCCTCGCCGCCACCCTTCGATCTAATTTGTCAGCTGGTACCCTTAGATTTAGGAACCAGATGCAAATGGATCAAATTCACCCGTCGTTACCAAAACGTAATTTGGATTATTTAGTATTGAATGAACCAAGTAAAGTCGAAATTTTTAGGAAATTTCTAAGTAGGAAGTCTGGTCGAGAACTGTTCAAACCTTTTAAGGGCAAAATCGTGCGGATTACTGGGTCTACAGATATTACTGATAAGGGGAAAGTGATTCGAAGAAATCACCTGGCGGTACGTGTTAAATCAACCGACTTAAGTTTTTCAGGCAAACAACTCACGCCTGTCAAGAAAGGGCAGAAACGCCCCATTGTGTCATCGTCTCCATCATCATCAGAAGACAATAGGCCCCTAAAACAATCGAGTTCTCGCCAACATATCACAGCTAAAACGAAGCAATCGAATCCTCGTCAGCATATAAGACGTTACAGATTCCGGCTCGTTCGAAGTTTCCATCTCTGCCATCTTCACTTCCTCATTCGCGTGGCCAACTTGTGTCGACTAAATCTAAGCAACATTCAGTCTCGGAGGCTCCAGGCGTTCAGTTTATCCCTTCTTCGCAGCACTCTACTCCAGTAGTAGACCTGACAGTATCCTCTTCCACGTCTGGAAACCAAGGAACGGAGGTTCCCATTAGTATTCAACCGAAATCGCCTATTTCAGTCGTTAAGTCAACTATTTCAGTCGCTAAGTCACCTATTTCAGTCGTTAAAAATCCTCAATCGAAATCATCTCTTTCAGTCATTAAGCCACCTATTTCAGTTATTAAAAATCCAGTCTGTCCAGACCTCATCCCTATCTCGTCAGATGAGGAATCTTCACTCCCTAAATCTCTGGAAGGACCTTCTTCAAATGTGGCAGCATCGGGCTGTTCCACCCAAGGTGGTCCCGTTATAATTTCCGAACCGGATGGAAATGTCTCATCCTCCTCGAATTCGTCCCGTGCCTCTTCTCGACGTAAGAAACAGACTACCTTTTACGGTAGCCCCATTCGGCATTCTGTGAACATCATTCAGTCTCCCTCGATGTCCACACCTTCGTCAGCTCCTACTTCGCCCGACAAGAAAGTTCGCTTTGTGGTGGCTCATTCAGATTCTGAGCCGATTAACCAAGCAGGACAGTCTCGGGTGGTTCTTCCCGATAACTCCGGAGGTCTATATCGGAAATTTACACGTTTCCCAAAAAAGAGTCATTCCGACTATCCTTTGCGTCGGGCTGATAAATAAAACTTTTGCAATTATCGATTTCAGCATTTGGTCCAGTACTTATACAAACTCGTCGGTCAGATAAATAAAACTTTTACATTTATCGAATTCAGCATTTGGCCCAGAACTTATACAAACTATTGTACCTTGTTCTTGCTACAAACTTTAAACTCCATATCAAATTTCTCTTTATATGATAGTCAATTTCCATGAATCTCTTTGTCTACCTGATGTTCTTCATGGTTTTCATATGTAAGAGCGCATTTAGTAATTTTGTACTTTTATAGTAAAGAAATTCAAACACGGTTTGAATTCTTTTTCCCGAGAGGGGGAAATGTGGTGCGTCGTCACTTAGATTTAAACATGACGTCAACGGTGTGCTAGCTATTCGTGCTAAATTCCATTATCTGTCAAGGTCGTGACCGACCTGCCAATCCACTCCAGTCTTAACATCATGCGCTCTCTATTCATTCTCTACAGCTTATGAAAGATTTAAGTTGTATTTATTTCATTGTCATGACATAATTTAAATACTAAACTATCTATATTATTTATATGTTTATAACATAACAAGGAGAATTGATTCTTGTTTTACAACTGTCTTTCGACGTTTCACAGAGACTAGACTTTTCCAGAAAAAAAAAATCAGCAAGACCTATATAAGAGTCTTCACTACGTTCATTACTCTTAAAAACAGATAGCAAATGAAAGCTTAAAAAAATCAGCCGTTCTGTTTTTCCAAATGTACACAGAAGCGAGAACATTGGCGAGAACACTACAAAAAGCAGCTCTATTAAGTGCAATAAGAAGTAGAAATAAGCCTCGAATAAGTAAAAATTCGGCTAGGTCTCGGATTCAAACCCACGACCTACTGTGACCTAGAGATTCTGAATATCACGCACTAGCCACACAGCGACGGATGCTTACTTGATGACAAACACTAGCCAAAAAAGCAGAGAAGAGATGCTATGCAATTAACAATGCTACAGTGAAATTTCCATATAAGCTAACACTTTCAATGACACTTTTGTTAGCGAGTTAGGGTAGAAAAAAAGAAGGGTCGTATACATACACTAGCGATCGCAAGCTGACTTTAATTTCTTACAATATGACCTTAACTTCTTAAAGACACTCAATAATTTAGAAGACGAATGCTACAAAAATATCACCCGAGCCTTGTATGTAGTTACCCGAAAACTTGATTTTACGTTTTCTGATGCGTTGATTTTACCTCCAGCTGACACGTTGAAATTGGGGGCCTGCTTCAGCATGAGTTTGGGCAACATGTAGTCGTGCATGAGAAGAGAGGTGAGGAGCGCCACTGGGTTGACGTTTTCCGACGACACACTCAGTCTCGCACTCAGCATCACCAAGGACTCTGCTGAAACAACCATCCCCATTTCATGGTTTACTGTTATTTTAATGCATTTTATCATTTCTTTGTTTGGGCAAATTATTGTAATTGAATGATAGCAAAGTAAGTCACTTTAATACAGAATCAAACTCAAATCTGAATTTCATGATTTCTACTTAAAAATATGAGTTTCGAAGGAAGTATACAAAGATGTCTAAACCGCTAAACGCCAACGTAATTTTCAATAGATTGATTTCAGCATAACATCCATCTGTCCATTTAACAAGCTGTATGGATTTACACATGAACACGTAAATCCTCTTTTATAAACTAACAACTCATTTTCGAATATTAACGAAGACAAAATGATACACAAAATCCAGAAAATTGTTACGCAGAAATTTTGTATGACCTAACTTTTCAATTGGTTCTTTATTGGGGAGGAAGTTTTAGTTAGTTTGATAGCTTCTACCAAGGGTTCTCAAAAATCATAGATTTTCTATAATGAATAATTCATTAACTAGTTTTCAAGTAGGCCTTAATTTCCGTTACTAGCTAAGGTCTAATTGGACAACTTGAACATTTGAAGTTAACTTACGGGTGAAGTCCCATTTGTACCAACGTTCATTTGTACCAAAACGAAAAATTGGTCCCATTTGTACCAAAATTATTCAACTCGATTTCTGATTGGTCGAATTGCGAGCCAACGAATTATTACATTAATTTTCTACTGTTCAAACAGATGAAAATTAAACAGCAGAATTGTGACCGCCGCAGTCGCGCCAACGTGTTGCGAGCTTGCCAATAGAGGACAGGACTCTATACAAAAATTAGAGCCAGTTATCCCCGCGAAGCGGCGACGCGCACCCACCGGCGACTTTAAACCAAGAGCTTAAAGTAGTCGGCCTAATAGTCTTAGGCCAATTGAAATTTTTTGGTACTAACGCGATTGATTTTTTTATTTTGGTACAAATAGGACTGATTTATCATTTTCGTATCTGTGAATACCCACCAACTTACGCGCTGAACGCCATTTCTTAGAAATTTCAATAGACTACAAGCCTGCATATAATTCATCTAATTATCACAGATCACAGACTTAACAGCGTGTTTTGAAATGCAGGATTGCGAGAACAAATGAGTTGCTTTTGGATTATTCAAACAACTTTCGGGCAACAAAATGGAAATGTGTGTGTGCTACAGAGATTAATCAGGGTTTTAACAAAATATATACGAAACTAATTACACCCTAATTATCATGAAGAAACGAACAGAAATCAACTCACTTAATCTGTCTCATACAAATTTGCAACTTCCGCGCCTGCCAAAAATGTTAACAACGGGCTCAAACGGGTCTGCACTTCTTTGAAACCATTCTCATTTGTTGCGGACAAACTTATCGTGAAGAACACAAGAAACTATTCATGTTCGTGCTGTCTCTGTTCGCTAAAAACTTAGAAGTTATATCAACAATTGGCGACAATTGTCAACAAAGCACTGTCTTCTTTTACTCAAAAAACCTTAATCGGATGCGCTTCACATCGTCTTGCTCTTGCTGTCAACGAGTTTCTCAAACAAAATGAACCAGTTCTGTTAAAAATCAATTTCATCATGCACAAACTTCAGACGAAGTTACTCGGAGCCAAACTGCGACAACAAACGAATTTGTTGCCGGTTTGTCGAAACGTCATGCGATGGTCCAGTACGTATCAAATGCTCATCCGTTATAGTGAAATCCCAATAAACGTATCCAATTATTTTGGTAATGAAGGTTTTCTGATTGATTTTTTAACCAGCCCCAAGGACAATAATGAAAGACTGAAAGGGATAGACATGGTCACAAAAGCCTTGCAAAGACAGTTTGGATAAGGCAGATGCTAGAAGTTTGTTGGACGGTATCAAAGAACCTTACCCCGAGCTGGAGCCCTTCAACAAGTACTTGTCCGACACCGCACCTATTAGAAAGTAACCCTCATTTCGAACTGGCCATTTCCTACCAACTACGAAGAGCAACTTTTCTTAAAATACAACGAGGCATTTTGGTACAAAAAAAAACCGTGGAGAAGGTCTACAATCTACCCAGCCAATGATTAAACTTCTGCTAATTTGTTCAATAATAGACTTTTTTGTTTTTCATTAATGGTATAATCATTTTTGAGTTATAATCTGTTAAAATTACTTTCCTTTAATTTTTGGAAACCCTTGGGTTCTACAATGCGATGGGAGGGGTTGCGGAGGGTGAACAAAATCTTAGTTACGTTTCTCTATCTCGAAGGGTGTGATGGGTCTCTTTGCAAACTGGAACACTTCGGGTGCCACCACTTTCATCCACTGTGTGAGGAATCCCTCGTTCCTACTCCCACTACTGCTGCTGTTGCCCCCCTGCTGCGACGAATCAACCATGAACGCCGAAATGCTCAACTGTGATTGGGTAAACGCTGCTTGAGCGTTCATTGGCTGCAAAAAGCTTTTCCCAATTGATTTCATCAATACAATAACTAACATTCTTCATGATACAAAAACATTGATTCGTTATGTACTTCTTCGATTAAAATTGAGCTCCCTAATATCTCGCCTAATTCAGATGCAAGTGATTAAATCAGTTTTCAGCCTTTCATCATTCTGTTAATTTTGAAGTCCTTAGGTAGAGCTCCAGAAAAAAAATGCGGTCCATTATTTCTTTGGCTTTGCTAATGGCTGAGCAAACTGACGAGCATTATTGACGAATTTTAAAAATAAAATTCCATTTGCTGCCGATTGTCACAGTGTTTTACCACATTTCGGATTGGAATACAAAAGGACTGATTTTGAGCATTTGCAAAAATGTTAGAATCAATTGGTGATGGCTAACTGGTTGGGGATGATTTGGCACAATGATTGGGTAGTTGTCAATGATGACCGCATTGTAGAGATTGTCCATAGGAGAGGTCACAGTCACAAGTATGGCCAGAAGTGAGTTGCATGAGGTATGTATGGCCTGTATGTCCTCGTGGTCTGAGTTCAGCACCACCCAGCTGTCGTCATACAGCAAACTCTTCAGTCTGTTTGTACAGGCGAATAGCAGACCACTACACAAATAACACACTTTAGCACATGTCACACATTTGTAAGTTCATACAAGCAACAATCCAGCCAAGACTCAGCCTTCACCATTAATCCACTGCTGCATGATCAAATAAAACATGACGGCTCAAGTCAGAGAAAAACCCGTATCTTTCAACTGCTCTTTAATAGTTCCACAAGCAATGCCAAGTAAAAAAAGAGTTTTCTGTCGAATGAAGAAATATTTGGCTCATTTAGCGGATCAATTTAGCAATCTACCTCCTATTCTCGCGTGGGTGGATAGCTCAATGGGTAATTAAGACATGTTTATAACCACTTGAATAAGGGAACGCATAAGGAACGCCAAAACTTACACACGGAGGTGAAGCTGGGCTTCGCAAATACAAGCGAGGAGAATGCAAAAAAGCTCTAAACAGGCAAAACAACGTCAAATAAAGAAAATATTTAAAAATTCCTTGATATAAAAGCTTTAGGAGTATCACGTTCTCACATCTTCTCCACGACCGCTTGTTATTATACTTACACTAGCCATCAATAAAGCAGCTACAGTTTATCAAAAAGCCAAAGTTTTGCAGCAAAAGGTCGACCAAAAAATAAAAATATTTCAATGCTCCGGATTTGAATCTCCGAACTGTTGATAAGGAGTCTCACGTCCAAATAAAGGAAAAAAGATTCCAAAAAACTATCAAAAATTGAAAAATTTGACTTTTCTTAATTTCATAAAGTTTTCTATAATAAAGCATGGGAATAGCCTATTATGCAGTGAAGATTTTCACACCCTGTTTCATATCAAACCCTTAAAATCAGATTTAGCTAGTAGTTTTGGAGAAAACTGATGAAATTTGTAAAGAAAACGGTAATAAGGTCACAAACTGGATTCTTCCGAAGTCCATATCGGCTTTTCTACAAACAAATAGGGTAAAACAGACAAAGCCAAGGAACCTTGAAAGTTTGAATTAAATATCAACCCCAGAATCCGCAGGTTAAGGTTTGAAAAGAAAGAATAAATTTCAAAAAGTTTCAAATAAGAACAAAAACGGGCAACATTTAAAAACGAAGGGCACAGCCACTCTCGCCGGGAAGGTTCAAATAAATGTTTGGCAGGTTAGTTTCTGAGAAAATCAAAAAGTTTTAAAACTGAACCAAAAGGTCAAAAATGGGGTGTTTGAGGCCAAAACTTTTTTCTACCGAATTTAGGGAATAGCCGTTCGAGAAAAGGAGATCCCCCAGGTTTGTTCTTTTGATTGAAACGTTCATCTCAGATTTGTGCATTCAAAACATGATAAAATTCTAAAATAGATCAAAGAGCAACCTTCTAAAACTTTCGAAGGCTGTAGAACGAGGCGTTTTATGAAAATAGACTATCAAAATATGCAGGCACATAAAAAAGCAGCCAGTTTGTCTATTATTACCTTTTTTGTGAAAATCGGTACAGTAATTTGAGAGAGAAATCAAAATTTCTGCGAAAAATGCAAAAACTTTCCAAAGCGTAGCATTAAAAAAACTAATCCCATACATTTTGATAAAACCTGTTGTTTTCAAACGCGACCTTTTACTAGCCAAAATTAAAGCAGCAACATGAGCTATTAAATTGCCCACGCTTAAATAGGCCTGAATAAGACTAAATTGAAATATAACAAAGTGCCACCAAATGAGCACATCTATTTGCGTCTTAGGTTCGAAAAAAATTTGCTCGTAAAAATACACTTCGCTTGTGTAAATATCGAAGCTCAAAGATTAATAAATTCAAAGTGAAACAATTCAAAAAATCTGAGGCACACAAAGCGACTTTTTCTGTCCTAAATGAAAAAAGCTATTGCTTACATTAAGACGTTGCGGATAACAGTTTTTGGTATTCAGATACAAGGCTAGAGCACAACCCTGGTAAGTTGCTTTTCTCGACGAGATAATGATAGCCCACAGATGAGGCAATGGTTTCTCATGAACTTCAATTTTTTTCAAACCTTTTCTCGATACTAATATAAAATAAACTTCAGCCGGTCAATCGATTGCGTGCTATGAACATAGCCAACTAACAGTTGGAGAAAAGTAATGAACGCAAAAAACAGGAAAAAAACTTGACTTGGTTTTTGAAATAAACTCAACCTTCGAATTTCGAGGAAAAAAATAGATGGCCTTAAACCACTTTGAATTTTTAGAACAGTTTATGATATGCTTTTTTGGTAAAACTAACCCAAGTTGAGAAAACTGGATCAAAGGGTAAAAATTTTATTTCGCTGGGAAATCTGATAAATAATTTCCATTTTCGAAATTAGAAGTCGATCACGTTTCTCTTGAACTTGACACTTTTGCTGTTCGATAGTGGAGTTTGCCTTCCTTCTTTTACACAGAGGCAAAATTGCTCTTCGCATACGCAAGCAAAAATATGACCAATAACGCTACAGTGAAAAGCTGAGTAAAACTTTGACTCTACAAAATTTCTTAAGTGACGCACGCTAACTTTGACTCTACATAATTACTAAATGACGCAAGCCAATTATAACGCATTAGCAGTACCAGTCAATTTGATTTTAAAAAAAAAGAAATTTACCAACTAACATACCTCAATTTAAAGAGCGGGCCCATTTTAGCTAGTATACGGAAAAGTTCTTTAAAACATCCGACCCTGCCCAGGTTCGAACCCACTTATTTTGTTGCGGGTCTCCTTCCATACATCTACGCTACAGATAGCTGGTTATTGTACTTAATAGCTGGCTATTGATCAAACTGAACACCTTGAAAATGAACACATTTTGTCGCAACAATATTTGCGAATTAGGTTGGAAAAAAAGATAGTTCATACTACAACACAAGCTCTGCTTGTGTAAAACTTATCTAAATAAACTATAAACCACAGTTGTTTCCACCTATTAAATTGCCTAACATCCACAATAATTTAAACAATTTATTTATCGTGAATTGCAAAATGTTAGAAGCGAAAAAAATGTTTAGAAAGAATCAACTACCTAAAAAAGAAAATTGAGATGCTTGTTAGAATTCGATGTTTGAAATATGCGTATGCATCATAAACTAGCATTTCATTGTTTTTATTTGTCAAAAGAATATCCATAGTCAACAGGAACTCGAGAGCAATAACAATGACATTATGATCTTTCGTGTCTACGTTTGGCAACATTATCAATCAAGTGATAATTGTGTAGGTATGTGTGAATGATTTGAGTCCTGCATTAAATTTGTCTCTAACATGCTGCTCAAAGTAATTCCTCGTCTAATTGCTCAGTTTGTTGGCCTTATCGATTTAATCCTTGCTATTGAGAGCTTATCAAAATAATCCGGTCATTAACTAGTGAGGCAATATCCCGGACAATTTTAGGACAATTTTGGGAACCAAAAGTCTTGGACAATTTTTGCGTTTTGGACTGTTTTGCGGGGACACAAATGTCCTGAAACGAAAAAAAAACATACAATCAGGACATCAAAATCTGACACTTGCAGAGGACAGACAATGGGATCCTAACAACGGGATCTCAGGATCCACTAAGCGTCTACCCTTACAGACTGTATTAATTAGGGAAAAAACCAAACAAAATAATCAGTGAAAAATTTTTCTACCTTAAAATTTTTCATGACAAAATGCATAAAATCTAATTCAAAACTTGGTGCAAACTGGTGTCCACATCTATGTTCCACTTGCTCTAACATTGCTATTTTCTTTATGAGATGATGTGATTAAATATATATATTTTTTTGTATTTCTGAAAACTTCGGTAATCTCGAAAACTTAAATTTGGCAGGATGAGACCTCTCCAGCATGATTATATCACTTTTTATCAATACTTCTAACTTCACCTCGATCTGATGTGCGTGACAGACATAATTAGCAGCGGAGATAGCCCAGAGGATCTTAACTGTCATGCGATTATTTTTGTTCTTTAGACATCGAAGCGTTCACGGAATTTCCAACATTAAGGAACAAGGAGACAAAATTCAAACCATTGTTATGAAAGTAAACAGTTTGCATCACTGCCCGAGTGCATATTCCTTGTGCATATTCTTAGATATAAATAAAGCCTAATTGGTGACAATATCCGGGGTACTATAAACAAATCTGAACGAAGTTAATTAAAATAAACTGCTCTTTGTGACGTCTGAAATCAACTTTCAACCATTTCAGTGCGTAAAAACCCCATCAAAAATCTAAATAACTACTAAGTGCCGTTTACTGAGCAATTAAAGTGCTCAAAAATTTAATATCGCTAGAAAATTTGGAATTAACAATGAACTTGTTAGTATGAAAATGGGGTCTTTTCTGTTATACGGCCCAAAATTCATCGTTTTGCTGTATTGAAAACTGGATCATACTAACTAATTCGGATTAACAAATGCCAAGGAAACTTGAAGCTTAATTTCGAACATAATAGCTCATTCAAAATTTTGCTAAGAGAAAAGAGCGTGAAAGTGTGAGTGCCTGCCTGGTATGATGAAGTATCATGAGGATGTCACTCCTCATCTGGTGAACTCTGCTGTGCGATGGCTTCACACTAGAGAAGCGCAGCAGCCACATGTTCAGTGACTTGTTCAACACGTGGGCGGACACTCTAGTCGCCACCTCGTTCGGCAGAATCTGAAAGCACATCAAACCATAAAGGACTGCTGCTTCATGTCTGTGCCTCTTTTCCCATCTCCCCACATAGCAATTATATTATCCTTCCTATTATGGCTCAAGGCCCGGCGGGTTCACAAAAAATGCCTATCATTCAATTTCATACTATGAAACAAAATGCTTATCATACTATTTCATACACCAATAAATAGTATGAAAATAGCATGATACAAATTTTTTCCATACTATGAAATTTTATATTAAGTATTTTTTGCAACATTTTGGAATTAAACAAGGATAGCCGGTTGCTGTTCCGACCACATTTTCAGAAAAAAAATAGTTTTTGCAGTTTTTTTCTTCAAGATAGTGCCTTTTTTGTACGTCGTAAAATAATACAACTATACGAACGCGCAAACAATTAGTGAAATAGGCATAAACGAATCCAATGGTCTCCAAAAAAAAAATTTAAAAAAATAAAAATTTCGAAATTGTTTTCAATTGTTTGCAAAAGTTTTTAATATTTTTTTAAAAAATTTTCTTGCCAGAGAAGAGCTAAATGAAGCTTCCTTTTCGTAAAACCAACTTTTTTTAGCCTAAACTTTTAAATTTCATAAATAACAAATGTTACTCGATCGCTTGACTCCCACGAAAATAGTTGAAAAATCAACATTTCAAATCGGTTTTTCTCGACAACTTTTGGGAATTTTTTAATAAGGTTCGAATCACGACTGAAAGGGCTTTAATGTGATATATCATTCAACCCAGTCCGATGATTATTTGTGGTACCTGATTTTGCGTGGAAAACGGTCGGAACAACAACAAGATTGTTGCCATACTTTTTGTCACAAAGACTTTATGAAAATAGCAAAAGCTATTTTTTGTACTATGAAAATGCATGATAAGCATTTTTTCCATAAATGAAAATTTAAAAAATCCATCCGAAACAATCCTACCATGGTTTTTCTGTCATAAGAAAACCCAGAGTGTAGCTGACAGTTACCACCCAGATAAACTGCATTTGGTGATATTAGCCATGTAATTTAATTTTAACATTTTCACACAGAATTATATACCAAAACGGTAACTTTTTGTATGTAACTAGAAAAATTTTACTTTGAAAATTTCGGTAGTTGAGAAAAGAGGCCTGTTTTTTGTCTGAAGGATTTTCCAGAACAATTCCAATTGACAAACCACTACAAGACCTTTAGAAATCGAAACCAGGACGACAACAGCATCGCCACAAAGGTCAGTTGCCCAGGGTGCGGAATACAGATAACGACGAACAACTTAGCCAGACATTTGACTAGGAAGGGATGTCAAGCTCAGAATCTCCAAACCCAGGGCGCAATAGGAAACAAGACAAGAGAAAGAACTAATTGATATGACATTCTGTAATCTTCAGAGTTACCTTATGGGCGTCCTCTATGATTTGATGTTGCATGAAGTGATGCCATGATTGGACTGTGTTGGAGACAGTATTGATGTCAGTCGGAGGCGGACGAAGTGACGAGTAGTTGTTGCTCTCTGCATCTTGTAGTATTGCACATACACTCATCTCGTGCATCGCTAAAACAGATATGAAGCATTGTTTTAATGAAGCAGAATAATAATATGCAATTTCATAATTGACCAGCTGACCTGCAACTAGCTTACCATATCGCTCGACTCCCAGACAACCTAAAGGGTCCCCCCTTTGGTAATATTTTACGACACCTTTATCACATCCATTTTGTCTGACCGACCCTCAATTTATCTAAATGCGCTATAAAAATTCGCCAATAAACACTATTCTGAGGGGGGAGCTCGAGTTTTTTTGAAAACAATTTTTCAAAATTTTTGGCAAAAATCTTTTTTTTAGCGTTTTGAGATATTCCGGAAAATCAATTTGTTCGACTTTAGATAAAGTTTTCTATTTTTTTTAAAATTCCAACCCTCTTCGAAAATTCTAGACCCACCCGTGGATGCACTTTAAAATTCGTCCCAGAAAACTTGTTGAATAGGCCAAACAAAATCAATTTGGATCAACTACTTTGTCTAAAAACATATATCCAACTCAATAAAAATAGTTGACCCGTTGGCCGAAAAACATTCAAAATATCTATTGAATGAGCGGGGAAGATGCTTTTTCATAGTTGCCAATTTTCAGTTCTTCAATGTTGGTTCAGGAGTTTCAAATGCAGCAAAAACTCACTTCGCATCTTCTGTATGAGCACTTGGCAGAACTCAGAGTACTGTTTGTGAACTAAAGAGAAGGAGGAGCGGAACTTGATGGGCAGAGGGATCTCCCCAATCACACTGAAACAACCACAACAACATTGAATCGATAACATTTGAAAACGAAGATAGCCGATTGCTGTGCAAACAGCACAGAATATTCCGATCACGCAAATGTTCATAAAATAAATTTAAAAAAATATTCATTTGATTTCTTTTTCATTTTTTGTTGTTTATTTTTGAATAAGTGAGGAAAATAAATTGATAAATTAGCCAAAAAGGCCAGTTAATATGAAGTTTTGAAAAAAAAAATCCCAGAAAAATTGAAAATTCAGTCTGAAACAAAAAATCCAGCCCGTTTTTCTCGACACTTTTTCAAAAGAAAAATTAAATCAGAATTGCGACTGAAAAGGCTTTAAAATGAATTAAGCTACAACAAGAATTAAGTTTCAATCGTAGCAATTATACAGCTTTGGACATTACACAACCAAAAATAAGCAACTCTGAGCGGACAGCTGACGAACCCATATGGGTTGCTAGGAACTGCCCTGATATGATACCCGTCTTGATCGGGATCAGAAGAAAAAAACAGACCCTACACCATACTTCCTTTCCTCTTCGTGAAACGTTCGGAATAACAAGGCTATAAGTTTCGGTTTCAAGCTCTAAAATATAACGAAACAAAACCCTAAATTGAATTGTTTCTACTTCTAATTTTTTTTTAGCTTTTCGTAAAAAAAATTCCAGCATTTTTCCAAAATTTGAGAAAAAAAACTAAATTTCAGACAAATTTTTTTTTTAAATGAACTCTTTCTACATATGTATTTTCAATCCGAGTCACAATTGAAAAGGCTCTAATACGACGTATCACTCGTTCTCTAAGTTAGAATACTTCTAGTACTCTTCCGAGGAGAACAACTAACTTATGCAGACAGATGTAAGTGCTGTTTTCTGCGCGCGAGAGTGTGTTCGTGTTATTTGCTGCGCATAAAGTGAGCTCAAAGTTCGCAAACAAGCTAAAACCGTCAGAAATAGCTCTATAAGGCTCAAAATGCGAACAAAGGAAAAACGTAAAACTAAAAAGAAATCTGCTATGTCCCGGAATCAAACCCCGACCTGAAATATTTAAACTCCAGAACATTTTTGTTCAATTTTACCACTATGCTCATCAGAACTGATCCAAAGATGCAGACCCCTCCCCTCAATAATTTTGATCCCCCTTAATGAAAAAACCCTTTTTTGTTCAGTAAGCAGCAAAATTAAACCACATATAGCGCTAATGCAGCAAAATCAAAATCAAACCAGATATATTGTTATTGCTGGAAAAACGCCGCCAAATATTTGAGCACTTTTTTGCGACTTAAGTTAGAAAAAAAACTGACTTCGTAATATAAGAATACGCTGGGTATGTTAATCGTGAACTTTTGTGAACATGAACCCCAAAAGAATTACTCCCAGAAATTTGTCCTATTTCAGAGTTCGGTTTGGTTCTAAGTTTTTGTTATTATAGACGCATACAAAATATGCGCAAAAATATTACCTCGTGATGTGGTTACTGAATGTATGCACAATCCAGGCCGCCGAAAAATTCAAATACATCTGAGTCATTGGGGCAGAATCAGGTGCCAAATTACACTGACGATTCATCTCGCCCAACAGCGCCTTCACAGTCGCCAGAAAAGAGTCCAAAATTGGGGCGCAAATTGAGTCAACGGACAGACAGGTTTTGAGATAGGGCAGACACCAGTTATACATGTCAAGCAACGATTTAACTTGATGAGGTATCTTTTGTGGCGTCGAAGTGAGACAAAAATTGAAGTCATTGCACACATTTGCAGTTTTGTTTGAGTTCTTGGAGTCGAACGTAGCTTTCAAATCTTCCAGACATTTGTGCGAATATCCCGTGAGCTGGATTTTGAGACTCCTAGATAGATGCTGTTCCAGATTAGACAAAACTACTCTTATCCAAAGGTACCTTCCAATGTCCTGATCCTCCAGGGCATTGTACACAGTCGCGTTTTCTTTTGCTGCAATCCCTAAGAGCAATTAATTTCATTGAAACTTTCAAATCTCATTTACAAATCCAACAAGGTAATTGATTAACCCAACTCACTCTAAAAACTTCAAGAAACGAGAGCACCCGAGTGCTGTGCAATCATCACAAATTTCCAACATTCGTTAAAAAATGGAAAAAATTTGCCAAGTTTGAGCGTTGTGGGATAAGAAGCGTGACGAAAGCAGAGAGAATTAGTATATCAGTCATAATCGACTACTGTTATCTTCGAAAATGAATCGCAAAACAAAAAAAAATCAAACAGAGCCAACAGACAGTTGGAAAAGAGTAAACGAAAGCAATAAAACAGAAAAAAAAACTACTTGTTTATTGAAATATCTCAACTTTCGAATTTCAAAGAAAAAAAGATGCCCTTAAAGCTCTTTGAAAATCTAAAACAATTTATATTGACGCTTTTACGATAAAACTTACCTAATTTGAGAAAACTGAATCAAAAGATAATTATTTTATTTCGCTGCGAAATCTGAAAATTAAACTCCATTTTCGAAAATAGAAGTCTTTCACGTTTTTTGTGACCTTTTATTTTTCGCTTTTCGATAGAGGAGTTTCCCTTCCTTTTAACAAATGAAATGAACTGAACTTAAGAAACCAAAAATCAACTCACTAAAAAGTATAATCGAACCTAAACAAATTTTGAGACTTCCTGAAAAACCAAAAAAAAATTCAATTTTTTTTTGCTATTTTTTGCCGAAAAAGAAATAAACGAAGCTTCAAAAATACGTTTTTCCGGAGTTTAATTAAATTTTTTCGGCTTAAATACAAAATGATAAAATCTAGATTCTCGAGTTAAGCTAGAAAGTAAAATTTTAAACCGGAATTGAGATATTTATGATAAATTTTTTTGTCGTAAGAATGAAAAGAACTTTAATACGAAATATCACTGAATCCATTCTGATGAATATTTGTGGTACTTTATTTTGCGAAAGAAAAAAAATGAAAAAAACACCTCGAGATGAAGTTCTTAGCCACTTTTAATGATGGGAACAAAAGTTTTGTCCGACCACTGAATGCGTCGAGAACTAAGCATTCAGGTGTTTTTAATCATTAAATCGCAAAAAGATACAAGGGGTCTCGAGCTGCAATGAAAAATTTCGGAAAATGTTTCCAGTTTTCATAAAATGGTATGTTATTTCGTTTTTCCGAAAAAAAATAAAGTTAAAACGTATCAATTGTATCTTTTCACGGCGACAATTAGGCTAGCTATAATTTTATTTCTTCTTATATAAACATAGAAGGGACGCCAAAATGGCGAACACTTACAAAAATGTGCTCTAAAATGCAAGAAAATTTATAGCACAGAGGCGAAGAAGCTGAGCTTCGCACCACTTGCGATACACAATAAAGCTCCAAAATTCAAAAGATAATGTGTCTCAAACTTGAAAATCAATAACCTTCAAAACAAAAAAAGGATTTGGACTACTTTATCCATTTCTTTCTGATAACCAATAGATGAAAATGATAAGAAAACAAATCGATCAAAGATTGAGACACAAAAAATCTTAAATGTACTCGAAAACTGTTCATAAAATTTTGCAAGCAAACAATCTGCATATCCACCCTATCCAGGGTGAAAGGCCCTTTCCGCTAATTGCTATAGTATAAGACCAAAAAGTGAAAAAAAAAACGAAAAACAAAATTTCACCACAGAGGCGAAGTTGCACTTTGCACACACAAGCAACACTATGACAAATAACGCTACTGGGAAAAACTGAACGAGTATAACTTTGCGTCTACAAAATTTCTCACCTGACGCACGCCAATTATGAGGCATTAGCAGTACAAGTCAATATGAAGTAAAGTGATAAATTTCGCTCCTAGTAACGAATCGCTCCTATTATGGCAAATAAGCTTCCTTCAACCATTTTGGAACGATTTCTATGACGGATTATATCTGCGCTTACGCGTAAATAGCGCGAAACATATCGAGCGTTAATTGGCCCAAATGGCAATTTTGAACCCCCATATCTTTACGAAAAAAGATCACAGGCAAAAAATATTTCAAAATAAAGCTCAGGACAACAATACCTTTTGAATGATATAAAAAATTCCATCAAAAACGGTGAGGTTAAAAGTCGAAATTTATCTGAAGAAAAAAAGCCACCCTGAGCACAAATAATCCGTTACGAAAGTAGGAACAACAACAATAGTCTGTGTTAAAATCCTTAGCATTGACTATACTTAGTAGTTGGTTATTGATCAAAATGAACACTTTCAAAATGAACTTATTTTATCGCAACAATATTGGCGTCTCAACAATATTTGCGACTTAGGTCGGAAAAAAAGATAGTTCACACTATAACACAAGCATTGCTTGTGTAAAAACATGAATGCAAAAATTACGAACAATTGCCACAAAAAAACTTGCCAAGAACCCGAAAAAAACTCCGAAAGCGTATGAAAATGACCCAATTTCATCAAAAAATATCAATTGGAAAATTTATTTGCAAGGTCACAGGCATCAAGGTCAAAAATCAAAAATCAAGGTCACAAGCATAAAAAACGAGTACCTCTTCATCTTATTCTTGTGTGTTTTTCTATGAATTTTGTGATCTAAACCTCTGTGTTGCATTCTGTGCTGTGAGGATTAGGCTATTTTTCTTATCAAGGGTATTTAAAACAAACAGGATCTTGCAAAAATAAACAGGAAAATTATCAATTTTTTTAACATATTGAAGCAATACGTTAAACCGTCAATTCAATCAATTTCAAAAAAAATTACTCAAACTTACAAAACACCTAAGTAATTAAAACTTAAACTAGTTTCACGCACAAAAAAAATATAAGAAATCATGCTTCCGTAAAAAACCTGATAATTTATTGCAAGAAAAAAATTCCAGCATAAAAATTCAAAATAGTTTTATTTCTAAAAAAATCAAGGTGACAAGCATAAAAAATGAGTTTCTCTTCATCTTATTCTTGTTTGTTTTTCTATGAATTTTGTGATCCAAACCTCTGTGTTGCATTCTGTGCTGTGAGCATTAGGCTATTTTTCTTATCAATGGTATTTAAAACAAACAGGATCTTGCAAAAAAAAACAGGAAAATTATCAATTTTTTTAAACATATTGAAGCAATACGCTAAACCGTCAACTCAATCAATTTCAAATAAAATTACTCAAACTTACAACACACCTAACTAATTAAAACTTAAACTAGTTTCACGCACAAAAAAATATATAAGAAATCATGCATCCGTAAAAAACCTGATAATTTATTGCAAAAACGAAAATTCCAGCATAAAAATTCAAAGAAGTTTTATTTGTAAAAAATCAAGGTCACAAGCATAAAAAATGAGTACCTCTTCATCTTATTCGTGTTTGTTTTTCTATGAATTTTGTGATCCAAACCTCTGTGTCGCATTCTGTGCTGTGAGCATTAGGCTATTTTTCTTATCAAGGGTATTTAGATATGAGTAGTGAAAAACAGCCCATATCACGTGGCAAGGCATCATGTTGAGTTCAATCATCAGAAATCAATGGACCTTCACGATAGAATTGCATCTCACCTTGGGGTTGAGAGTACGCATACTTTGTAGCGGCTTCTGTGTCAACCTGGACACTCATGGAATCGGCTACTGAAAACTGACCAGGCATATACAAGTTCTCAACTCCAGTTGAACTCGAACTGCCTTGTCCTCCAGAGCCCACTGTATCTGCAGTTCCTGAAACTACCTCTCCGGTTGATGAGGTCGCCGGACTCTCAGGATTCCTGTTCTTCAAGACACTTTTCACCATTTTTGGACTCTGTTCATGTTTATCCGTTACACTATCCAGTTTCAGCTGCATAACACGATCTGACAGATAGTCTTCGAATACAACTGATAGCTTAATTACTTCGCCTATTTGCTTCAGCTCTTCCATAGTTAAGGTTGGTACGTGGGCAGTCTGCAACTGATCTTCATTCAATGGCGAAGTATCCATGAAGCTAGTGAACTCACTAAATGCACTCTGAGTTTGCGTTTGCTGAGATCTGAAATGGGACACAGTCAACAAAACAAACGTCCAAAAAGTAACTTACATTTGATCTAACAGAAAAAATTTTCTATTTATAATCCTGTGAGCAGAAACAAAAACAGAAAAGACAAGTCGTTTTACATACGCACTCCAAGAAACTTTAGGCCTGGCATCCATTTTTATGATAACTTCTTTTCTGATTATCCTCCGAGTTTTTTTTTTAATTTTTCTAGTTTTCACGCAGGTCGGCATGTTCCTGATGAATAACGCTGCATGTTCACTGGTTCACAAAACACACACCTGTTTGACGCAGACTGATCTTCGTCCTTTCTTTTGGCACCTACAATTGCAGTTCCGCTTTTTCGCTGCTTGGATGAAGACCTCTTCTTTTCATCCAAACTCGCAATATTTTCCACATTCACCTGTTTCTGGTACTGCTGCTGGAGCAAATTGGATTGGACTCGCTCTGAGATTTTGCTGAGAAGAGTTTCGATGAAGGGCAGATATATTTGTGCATACACCTCGCTGACAGACACTTTGGATCCGAAGATATCACTCAGAACAACAAACTCGTCTTCCTCCACCATCAGCTAAAAACAGCTTTGCTGAGAACAATTGAATTTCAAAACTAATTGTGAGTAGTTTGATCTCCATTAACGGAAATCTTCGTGTTTAATGAGGTTTTAGTGTTTACTTTCCGAATGATTCTACTTACTTTAACTTTGTTGTAAAACGTAGGCAGTAGTTTGACAAATTGGTTGAAATTGGTCATTTGCATTTCATGACCTGCAGTTCCGACACTTCCCTGCAGCCCAGCAGCAAAACGTGGACTGCCTATTTGATCTTCGTCATTCAAGTTGGTGAAGTTCACTTTACTTCGTGGACCAAGTTGAAAATGCAAAACCTGTGACGTCAGCTTATGCAGGTCTTGCATTCGGATTGCGCAATATTTTGACCAAACATGATTCACAGGAAGAAGGGTACAAAGCGCTTCTAGTAGAAAGTGTCGTTTCTGAAGCTGGTTTTTGATAGGTGAACTGTTCGCAACCGGCAACGTTTGTAAGAAACTGATGAATGAAGATTCGAACTTTTTGCAGATTTGCTGCCACAAAACAGCATTGTATTTCTCTTCTGTATCCATAAGTGATGACACTGTAGGGTCTAAATACATGAATGAAATTATTATGTTAAACAGCCTTTAACATCAACACTTAACCTTGTTACCATGGCTTGAAATAAAATATCTCGCATCTTTTTGATTTGATAAAGAACCAGTGGAGTCCTCCACGAAAAACAGGACATGGATACTGGCCGAACTTGAACTTCTTGTGTTTATCGACCCTGACATTATCGTTACAGATCGTTAAACATTTATGTTGCACATCATCGTCATCATCTCTTCAACTTCTGATCAAAGCACGTGAGCAGTAAAACTAACCCTGGGCTGACACCGACGATGAATTCTGAGGTTTGAACGGCAAGCAAAACCCTTCATGCGTTGACAACTTAATTAAACTGAGAAACATTTGCTGTTCGCATTCCGCAACTACGGCAGACGATGCGCTTCCTGATTGTCCAGGTGTCAAGTTATGTCTATTAATTGCATCCAAGATGTGCTGCAACACCCGAGTCACATCTTCTTGGCTTGGCACAAAACAAGCGTTCTTCTCGAGTACATCGGCAGAAACTTAAAACAAGGAAACAACTTCTGACATCTTATAAAGAAGCGTAAATTATTAAAATATGCATATACCCACCCATTATCGAGAAATTTACCCTTCACCGCCCTTGTGTGTGAAGATAAAAACAGGTCAGAAATTATCACGGGAACCGAGGTTATTACACTAACTTTCGTCATTTCAACCAGACAAAAACTCTTGGAATTTCAAAACTTAGCGGGAAAAGGAGGAAAGTAAAACGCGAAGGAAAATAAATTAAATCGAGATGGTTGAGAATCAAGTCAATCAGGTTAAAATGAACACAAAATTAACACATGCAAAGAAAAAACAGGATTTGAAAGAAACTCAAAAAGATTGGCCTGATATGATGCTACAGATACTTGAATAAGGCTGCGCTTAGGTTTCATTGGCTCTACAAATTGAGAACTTCTTCGAAAGAAGTTCTATCATTATAATTAGAAGAAGAATATATTCCTCTCTACAAAAAGAAGAATAAATTTAAAAAATAATGGATTTAATAACAAAGCATTTAAACGAAGTTTTGAATTTTGAACCATGAAAGCTGCGTGTCTCTGTACCCTCATGAGAATGAGGACAAGAAAAAACACAAAAAATGCATTTTTGCAATTTTTTCCATTTCATTTCTTTTAAGCTACAAGCTTCCAGAGCGCATCCTCTCATTGCTTACTACGAGCAAACTTTCCGTCAATTAGCATGCATTTCAGAAAAAAAATGATGAACAAGACAAAAGAATTAATTTCAACAAATTTAAAGATTTTGAAATATTTTTTAAAAGAATCATAACAAATTGAGAGAAATGCAAACTATTTTTTCAGCAGGGTAGCATTGAAACAAACCTTTAAATCTTCATAATCATAAAAACAATATTTAATTTACTTGTCAAGGCATACAAAACACTTACAAAAGTTACATTTTATTCATTATTGAAAAGTAAGTATTGGCCACCTCAAGAAGAAAAATAGTACGCACTAACAAGACTTTCAAGACTAATGGGTCTCTTATTTGATTCGCTAAGCAACTGATCGCATCCTATTTCAATCTCAACAAAACTTTGGGAAAATTACGATTTTCTCTAAAGAGATTATCAACTTGTATAAGCTACTTGAAATTGTATTTCCCTTTATCTTACCTTTGCTGAAAGGGGCCTATGCTGAACCTCTTGTTCAATTGCTCTTGGCTTATTTACGAAAAAAAACTCAAACTTTCAGAGTAGAAATTTTTTAAAGATCTTAACAATAATTTCAAGGGGATAAGCAAATAGCTCATGCACTGTCAATATTTGGTCAGTATATAGAAAATTCCTAATGTTTCCGATTTTTGTTTGTATTAAACCACTCAGACTAATTTCTTCTGCTCCAAAAAAAAAGAAAACAAATTTGTGAAGCAAGTCCAACCAAACACAAACAGATCATATTTTTACTGACGCAAGGCGCAGTTTCAAACCATCTGCGATACAACATAGGATACGAAACTATTTGGAAGAGTAGTCTTCGAGAAAGGTCAAAGTTTCACCGAAAATAAAACCAGATATTAATTTTTCCGAGGTCCATGAACTTTTGAGTCAAAAAATGGGTTTGTCATCTATGCCAGGGAAATCCCTACATGCCGTTATTTCATTTCAACCAGAAATCTCAGATAAGTTTAGTTCGAGATAAGTCAATAAGTTAAAACGGTCAAAAAAATCAAAAATTTGACCTTTTCGACGACCACTACTCTTGTGTAAAAATCTTTGGGCGGAGCCGGTCACGCAGAGGGGAGCTTCCCATAAAACCGTTGATTGGAAAACTAAATCTTAGATTTGGGAGGATGATTTGGGAGGCGAAAACGAAAATAAGGGTCAAACATTCCGCCAAAGGAATTTTCCCCAAAAAAGTTCATCTAAAAAAATGACCAGAGAATTATGCAGACACACTTTTACAAGCTGCAGACATGCTTTCAAAGGCGGCAAATACAATGGGCGGTTTTTTCATTAATACCGTTGTTTTAAAACCGAAAAAGTAGTTTTGAGAAAAACTCAAAATTTTTGCAAAAAAATAAAAATCTAAGTCTTCAAATCGCCTCAAAGCTCAAAGCGTCTCAAAAAAACAAAATGCAATAAGAACCCCCAAATCCATACAGTTTCATAAAAAAAATGTTTTTTTTCCCAAAAAAATCTATCCTTATAAAAAACCAACAATCTTTCATTTTATCTTAAGCTTTTTAAAAATTTAAGTCCACCTGAAATTGCCAAGAAAAAAAATGCTATTACAATGATTTTTGCTAACACCACAAGAAAAACGAGATGTAGCACCTAATTCAACAAAAATTGCGTAGACAAACGAAACTCTTACGATTCAGTTTTTAATGGAAAAATTTTCAATTTCCTACATAAGGAAAAAAAACAAGGTTCTGCGGGGACTCGAACCTCAAAACTTCGTTACCTCCAGGCTATAGTGCGTTACCTCCAGGCCAAGTGGAAACGAACCTGAAAACTATTAAAATTTAATATTGAAGCAAGTGCAAGTTCTCACAAAAATTGTTTACGGGAAAGAAGTCTAATTGTCGCAAGTGTAATAAAAGATTGAATGACACTGAAAGAAAATTTGATAAGGATTCTATTGGGACTAAAACTTCTCATTTTAGTAATAATCGACTTATCTACCTAATTTTGACTTATGCTTTAATAGATGAATCAAGAATGACAGCTTGGAATCAACATACACACCCATGTACATAGAGCATGGTTGAGGGTCCAATAACAATTTCATTAGGAGAAGACTGATACTAGAAGCACCGGATTTCCTTTTAAAACTTATTAAGATCGACTTATCTTTATTTAAAGCGCGCCTATTTGCAGTCAACTATTGACAAATTCTGCTAATAACTTTTATGAATATATTTGACTCTTGGGTTACAAGCTTCATTGTATAATGACCATCAAGTAAACTTCAGATGATTGACGCTATCTCACATATCTTTCACATACCCAAGAACAAATAATTGCATAATGTCTATTAATGGCATCCAAGATGTGCCGCAACACCCTAGTCACGTCTTCTTGGCTTGGCACAAAACAAGCGTTCTTCTCGAGTACATCGGCAGAAACTTAAAACAAGGAAAGAACTTCTGACATCTTATTAAGAAGCGTAAATTATTAAAATATGCATATACCCACCCATTATCGAGAAACCTATCCTTCAACGCTCTTGTGTGTGAAGATAAAAAACAGGTCAGAAATTATCACGGTAACCGAGGTTATTACACTAACTTTTGTCATTTCAACTAGACAAAAACTCTTGGAATTTCGTAAATTAGGGGAAACATGAGGAAAGTAAAACGCGGAGGAAAACAAATTAAGTCGAGATGGTTGAGAATCAAGTCAATCAGGTTGAGAAAATGAACACAAAATTAACATGCAAAAAAAAACAGGATTTGAAAGAAACTCAAAAAGATTGACCTGATATGATGCTACAGGTCTATCAGATACTTGAATAAGGCTGCGCTTAGATTCCATTGCTCTACAAATTGAGAATTTCTTCGAAAGAAGTTCTATCATTTTATTAGAAGAAGAACATATTCCTCTAAATTTGCAAACAAATACAATAATGGCTTCAGTATTACTCAAAAATAAAATTTAAGTTGAAATTTAAATTGTCTAATTCAAGTCTTCAAATCTTCTCAAAGCTCAGAGCGTCTCAAAAAAAACAAAATGCAATAAGATCCCCCAAATTCATACAGTTTCATAAAAACTGTTTTTTCCCTAAAAAAATCTATCCTTATAAAAACCAACAATAATTCATTTTATGTTAAACTTTTTTAAAATTAAGGTCCACCTGAAATTGCAATGAAAAAAAATGCTACTACAATGACTTTTGCTAACACCACAAGAAAAACTCGTGATGTAGCACCTAAGTCAACAAAAATTACGCAGACAAACGAAACTCTCACAATTCGTTTTTTTTTTTTGAAAAGTGTTCAATTTCGTACATTTCCTAAACAAGGGAAAAAACAAGGTTCTGCGCGGACTCGAACCTCAAAACTCCGTTACCTTCAGGCTAGAGTGCGTTACCTCCAGGCCAAGTGGAAACGAACCTGAAAATTATTAAGATTTAATATTGAAGCAAGTGCAAGTTCTCACAAAAATTGTTTACGGGAAAGAAGTCTAATGGTCGCAAGTGTAATAAAAGATAGAATGATACTGAAAAAAAATTTGATAAGGATTCTATTGGGACTAAAACTTCTCATTTTAGTAATAATCGACTTATCTACCTAATTTTGACTTATGCTTTAATAGATGAATCAAGAATGACAGCTTGGAATCAACATACACACCCATGTACAGAGAGCATGGTTGAGGGACCAATATCAATTTCATTAGGAAAAGACTGATACTAGAAGCACCGGATTTACTTTTAAAACTTATTAAGATCGACTTATCTTTATTTAAAGCGCGCCTATTTGCAGTAAACTATTGACAAATTCTGCTAATAACTTTTATGAAATATTTGACTCTTGGGTTTTACAAGCTACATTGTATAATGACCATCAAGTAAACTTCAGATGATTGACGCTATCTCACATATCTTTCACATACCCAAGAACAAATAATTGCATTATGTCTCTTAATGGCATCCAAGATGTGCTGCAACACCCTAGTCACGTCTTCTTGGCTTGGCACAAAACAAGCGTTCTTCTCGAGTACATCGGCAGAAACTTAAAACAAGGAAAAAACTTCTGACATCTTATTAAGAAGCGTAAATTATTGAAATATGCATATACCCACCCATTATCGAGAAACTTATCCTTCACCGCTCTTGTGTGTGAAGATAAAAACAGGTCAGAAATTATCACGGTAACCGAGGTTATTACACTAACTTTTGTCATTTCAACTAGACAAAAACTCTTGGAAATTCATAAATTAGGAGAAACATGAGGAAAGTAAAACGCGGAGGAAAACAAATTAAGTCGAGATGGTTGAGAATCAAGTCAATCAGGTTGAGAAAATGAACACAAAATTACGACATGCAAAAAAAACAGGATTTGAAAGAAACTCAAAAAGATTGACCTGATATGATGCTACAG